AGGAGATTACTGAAGCAATGAGACAGTTATCAAATGGCCGTTCTCAAGTTGAAAAAACAACAAATATAACAAACCGTAACAGTGTAATATCGGTTTATACACTGTCCCATTGAGTGCAGTCTTTGTGGATTAAAGTAAATGGTAACTAAAGTTAGTGAGTCTAGTCTAAAGTTGTGAAAATTCTGATACCAATGTTCTAAAATGTAAAGACGATGCTGTGTCTCGTTGCCATTTACTGAGGAAATAGTGGTTTGCACAAACCACGTCCAGCTCTATTGCCATGTTTGGGCAGATAATACTCAAAAATCCGATATGAAGAAACTTCTGCCTTGGTGAACATCACAATATGAAACACATATAATAAGAAAATGTCAAACAATTTTGTTTTATATTTGCTTAACCAATGAAAATAGATCAGTTACAAAGATCTGTTCAGTGAATTTCGCTGTTTTACGAAATATTTATTTCCTAAATATTTGAGTGTCAACACTGCCTGCTTCTGGATAGCTTCAAGAATTCAGACAGCATTTATTTTTGCAGAAAACAGCTGATAATCTCTCTGAATTCAGGAAGTGCACAAGCTTGTCGTATTCTTTGACATCCTTCAGAACTCGTCAACTGATTATCTATCAGTTATTATATTACCTAACCCTAACCCTAACCCTATCTGTAGAAAAAACTATTAAAACTATACATACAGTTGCGTAAGAATTTTGCAATTCTATACCCAAATAGTACAGTCTAAAAATAGTTTTAAAATGTGCACACATACACACATCCTGCTCATATCAGAAACTTGCTTTGCTTAAAGCTGCAGTCCATAACTTTTGGCGCTCTAGCGGTTAATAAACAGAACTGCGTGCGTCTTGCGTAAGAACATTGTAGCCGGAGCTACTTCTCTCTGTTTATGTCTATGGCGAATCACGCAGGTACTGGGCTACTCCACAGCGGTTCCACCAGAACCAGCCCAAATAGTCCGAATATAAACACTTATTATAGGTGTACCGTAGTGATTCAGGACAAGCCAAAAACACAGTTTGGAAAATGGATTCATGGTGTACTCGACTATTATATAAAACTTGTGAATTTTGAACACAAAAAAAGTTACGGACTGCAGCTTTCATTTCATTGCCTTCTTGCAGAAAAAGTTAACTCTTGGTATATTCATCATTTACAACAGATAAGAGTTAAAACAACAGCCTTGCTAAAGTTTGTGAACATAAATCCCCAATTTTAACCTGCACCCTAGAGTACTGACAAATGCGTGTGATATTGAAGAAAACATCTGGCAACCTTGCTGAATTCTTTCATTTTCCGCATATCCAGTCCACCCATAAGAGGAAGAAACGTTAGAAGGATCAAAACGTTTGAGTTCATATCCTACTTCACTCTTACAACACGGATACTTGACATGGGGGTAAATATAACAGCTTTCACTCTTCTAACTTTTATTCATTTGAACATTTAACATTATTGGTCAAAGATTACACACTGAATTACATGCATGTTACAGCATAGGAAAGGGTAAGAAATAGGGCTGATTTATAAAGGTTTCTGAAGTACTGTAAATTTACCATTTGTTGCATAACATCTACTACATTGCAAAGCCATATTTAAATGTACCACACTTTACATATTTTATATAATATTTATTGACTTGACTATGCTAAGCTTGCTTGCCTTGGCTTGACTATTAGTTTGATCAGTCTACAGTTACACGATACCAGGAAGGCTGATTTTACAAAGCTGATTTTGATAATTGACCATAATGGATTGAATTACTCCTAAAACTAACTCTTAACTAATGCATTCTCATTTACCTATATGTTTACAGTAGAGTAATATTAACAGAAATTCTTTTCCTCCTTCAATATATTTCCTCTACACATCAAGTCCTTCAACTGCAATATAATACATGCTTCGTTTAGTTTTTTTCTTGTAATGAGACAACACTTAAAACAAAGGGTTAAACCACAGTCTATATCAAGCTGGAAATGACATACGAGTTGAAGTGTTAGACACATTTTCAATTCGCATTTACAGTATGTGCTTATTATGCAATGTATATTAACCTGCCTTCTTTCTCACTTGTTTAATTGAAGTAATCAAATTGTTTAGTCTTATAGAATAGTTCTATACATTTTTTTTTCTTCTTAATTTATGAAATTTCAGGTGGCACTGAAATGTTACAAAACCCATAAACCCAAGAAATATAAATTCTGTTCCTTGATTCGGTAAGTATTTAATTATTATTATTAGCTTGTTTTTTATAAAAAATATGCTACTGATTTATGTTATACAACACACTGTGTTTTAATGCCATGTTTAAATTTCTTATCATAAGCTCCTAATCAGAAGAGTCTCTGGTTACATTATGGACACCTCAAAACATTCGGAGGTACGTAGCACCAGAAATGTCAATCATTTTTATGTGCATCATCTAACCACTCTATTAAATAATTAAGATCCAGGCATCAATACAACATAACTTTAGGTGCTGATTTTCTTTTAGAAAAATGAAGGCAAGACAGCTTCTGAA